AACTAGGGCAAGCTTAACTTTGACCAGATCCTGCTCCAAATCTTGTTTCCTTCAAGGTTAAGGATTCTCACATTCCTCATGCCTTTGTATTATAAAAGAGCATCAACTTAAACAAAAAAAAAGATGGAAAATGTGCACAAATGATCTTTTCCTTTCTTTGCACCTATAGCTGTTTCCCCAATATATAATACACAAACGTTAACTAAGGTATCAACACGCGAAAGAAGAAATCTCCCTGCGATCATAAAATGATGTTATTTTCTGTTCAGCAGTTCATGTTACTGCACTTCATGCTAATTAATTAAAGGAGCTGTTGCCTTAATGTGCAAACAGGGAATCTGAGAAACTGAGAGGGCTTTTAGGTCTCTGACGGAAGTTAAGTCAATCTGGGCACAAGCAATCAAATGTAATGAAATCACATGTCAGTGCTAAGCTTGCAAAAACTGTGAAGTTTGACTGGGGAGTAAAAGGATTATAATTAGATTTCCAATAGGATAATAACTAAATGGCAGAAAGCAGTAAAGAGAAAATATTACTTTGTTAGCTAATGGTGCTGCTGTTTGGCCTCAGTTTTTACCAGCGCGGCTCATAGTTGCACTAATTTAATTTGCTTTTATCAGCAAAAAATGGAGCACTCGAACGGTCCTTGAATGTCATTTGCAAAAATCATTGATCTGAAGGTGCACTTAATGACACCCCGTATGTTTATTTTATGGGAAACGGAGATTGGTTGATGAAAACAAACTGAAGCTGCTGTCCCCATGTTTGGCTACAAGTGAATTATGGACATCAAACACCCTGAGCGTTCAAGTAGAAATCTTTCCTTAGCAGAGTGACTGGCGGTTGGGTATCCAAATGATGACTAAGGCTTTAAAGCAAGGAACCACCACGGCTCCCAAGGGCGGTGGAGGGACAAGAGGGCACCCCCTTCTTTTGTTCCACTCTTTTTAAGCTTCTTAGCATTCTGCCTTGGATTCTACTCCTACATTCCCTACTGAAGAAGGAGACGTTAAAAAATGGCAAAATAGGATAACGTGCATCGATCTTCATTCCCCCTGCCTCATTTGTTACTCATGTGAACTGATAAAACAGAACAGCAACAACGGTAACATTTTGATGCAGTTTATGCTGGATGAACGATGTGAATTAAGTCTGATAGAGCAGGTCAAAGTCCTTGTTCATTCAGCAACCTGCTTCCCATTGGGACAAGCAGATGTGTTTCGGAAACTCATAAGCAGGACATAAAGTTCACAAGCAAGACATACTTGCGGGTCTGTCTGTCCCTGATGGTTTCCATCCATCCTACAACATTGGACAGTGTCATGCCATGGATCCCACTGGTGAAGCAGTGCCACCTGGTGGGCCCCAGGAAGTGTGCCTTCTCTGTCCTGGTGCTGTCTCGTGGAACCCCTGAGATACAGACAGCCCCAATCCTCTTGGCCTTCTGGAAGGTTGTGAAGACCTGGATCTCCCCCCAGGGAAGATGTTAATGGGCCTCTGGCATAGGTATGTTTGTGTTTGATGTGTTGACAAGGAGAATGTTAGGGTCCTAGTTTATTTTTAATGGATTTGTACATGATGTTTTTCCTTTTGTTGACTGTCCTGGGTTCCCTGGCTAGATGAGGAGGTATATAAATTTGTGGAAGGAGGGAAGGCAGGCAGGCTTTTCAGCGATAGCCCCATGTTTTGCAAGTCACTGTTTGCCCCATCCCTTCCTGCATTTCAAAAGACTGTCAAACCACGTTATTCCAAAGTGCCTTTTGGTCCATACTGATTATGGATGACCACAATAGCTTTATATTATCATCATCTTCTTCATCATCATCCTCGCCATCATCATCATTTTTATTATTCAATTGCATTTATTTATATTGTTGCTTTTATTCCCACCTTGTTGTTCAGTCCACAAATACTGTAAAACAACTAAATACAGACCACATTCCCTTTCTCCTGCTGTGGTCCAGCATTTGCTAAGCAAACCATGCCATTTGCATATAGTTATCAGAGTTAGCATCAGTAACAATTTACCATCCACAAGTTTATCTTAAATCATTGCCACGGTAGCTATAAACACAAGTGGTATCTACAACATTCAACAGGAATGGTTGTAAATTGTTATTGTTTTAATGTTATTTTATGCTGGTCAATGACTGAAGTAAAGATCTGACTTGACTCCACACAAAAGTTCAAATTCAGAACAGCCAATTTTGAGCTCCATTTTGAATTCTAAAAAGCTGTTTTGATCAAACTAGAAGTGTTCCAACTCTGTTCTGATCATTCTGGAAATATATGAGCCCCATTTAGAATTGAGTTTGTTTTGAGCTCCAAATACTCCTGACATATGTAGAACAACATGTTTCAAATTCGGAACAATGGTTCTGAGTCCATTTTGCACAGTCTTAATAAATCCATTTTGTGACAGTAAACTCCCAGGAATTCATTACGCATTGTGTAAATAAGTTCCTCCTACTTTCTTTCCTGAATCTCCCACTAATTTTACTGGAGGTCCCCAAGGTCTATACCATGCACAATTGTGTCTCAAATCCTGCCTCCCCATAACTTGTTTTTTTTTTTGCTTTTCTAAAAGCCCAAAAACTAAACTCTTTCCCTCATTTGGTCTTGCTCCTGCATTAGACTGCTCTTTCTCCACCTTTTATGATATTAAGCTTGTTTATACTGCAGATTTATCAAAAGGTATTATGGTATCTCAAGTTTTATAGATGAGTCTTTTCTTAAGGATCCCCAGCATGCAAACTGTCATCCCGTCATTTTACTAGGATCTGGACTTTGTCTTGCATGGACACTGGTTCCATCATGTGAGACCTCCACATGCACCAGCGATAATCTCAAGGCTTTATGGAGAGAAAAAATGGCTGCAATATTCTCCTATATGCCAACTTTACTATCTGTATCCGTTGTTGTTGCTGTCCTGTGATCCACAAAGCCACAAGGATGCTTTCCAAACCTGTGGACTTTACACCATCTCTATGGGCAAGGCTCCTTGTGAGGAACACTAATTCAAGGGCAAAAATGGCACGTTTAGCCCAATACTAGAAATATTGCAAGATTTGGAGTTCTGGCACAACGTGGCATGGACATACCTCTAATATAGTATATGGTATATTCTGCAAGACCCATACCTTGCATTGCTGCATTCTCATGTTGGGTTCCATTGTGGTCAACTTCCATCTCCGGAATCCCAGCATCTGCAAAGCACAACATTCATATCACTGTCTCCTCTAATGGTCATATTTGAAACATGATATGCACAGAATGGAGTAATATTGGATAATTTGTTCACCTTATATCCCAATTTTTTTTCTCAGAAGCTCAATGCTTCATAGATGTTTTTACAAGAGGTTGTCTCAGGGCATCACAGAATGATTCACTAATTTATTAATCCCCTTTAAGCATTTTTGGGGCCTCTAAAATGCACTTCCATAGTGATCTTTGCAATATTCATTTAAAACTTTTTATATAGTTGTCCAGCCCTGCTGCTTCCAAAGCATTTTACAAAACCTGACATGACACTTTCAAAAGCTCTAGGGTTGGAAAGAACAAAATAAAATATTTTAAGTGAATAAATAAAGCTAGAAGGAGGAACAGTTGGGTAGAAATTATATGGCCTTGGAGGCTTAAAAAAGTTTATGTTATTTTGTAGTAAAGTTTCCCTCAGTATGTCATATATTTTTCTTTTCTGAGGAATTGAGGGTGGAGGGAATGGGAGCAAAAATAATTATATTGAGAAATTGGAAAAGTGATATTATTCCAGACATTAAGGATTGGCTTTTGGAATTGTGAAATGTATCCATTTTGGAAAAAGCATTTGCAACTAATCCAAGAATGAAGAAACAAGTTCTTTGGTATAGGTATCATTATATTTTACAATAATATAATGGCATTTTAAGTAATTTCTTTTTATCTGTTTCTCTTTGATAAATAATATTGTATTATAAGGTATCTTTTGTACACCAGTGACATCTATATGTTGAATACATCTGTTAGATGTTTAGTACTGCAATTTATTAAGGTGTGTTAAAGTTTTTAAAAGATTTGGGTGGTATTTTTTCTTTTCTTTAGTTTTAATTTTGTGGTTCTTGTTTATTAATTGTTTTTATTATTACATGGTTCTTTTTTATTGGTAATCTTTCATATTCTGCTATTCTGCTTATTTTTTATATGTTGTAATCTTCTAAAAAAGGAATAAAGATTAAATATAATGTTTCCCTTTTTGTTGACCTATCATATAAATATATTTATCTAGAAGCATTGGATTTCCTTTATTCTTTTCCAATTTTTTCCAATTTAGGTTTGGATAACAAAGAATTTAGTGGAAATAAAGACTAACAAATTTATTACGGCATGATAATTTTGCTAGAATTTATTGCCATAGCATTCTTTGGGTGGTTTTTTGGGGGTTTTTTGCCCTTGGGAAATGGTATAGTTTGAAAGTTTTATTATACAGGTAGTCCTTGACTTACAACCTCAGTTGGGACTGGAACTTCCGTTGTTAAGCGATGCAGTTGTTAAGAGAGTTGTGCCTAATTTTACAACTTTAGCCACAGTCGTTAGCCAAATCCGGCTTCCCCCATTGACTTTGCTTGTTGGAAGCCCCTTGGGAAGGTTGCAAATGGCAATCATATGAACCTGAGATGCTGCAACCGTCGTAAATACATGCTGGTTGCCAAGTGCCTGAATTTTGTTCATGTGACCGTGGAGATGCTGTGATGGTCAAAAGTGTGAGGACTGGTCGTAAGTCACTTTTTTCAGCGTCATCGTAACTTAGAACGGACATTAAACAAATGGTTGTAAGTTGAGGACTACCTGGATTTAGCAATTTTTTTAAATGTTGTGACTGAGCGTGAAGAGAATTATATTTGGTTATGTGGAGATGGGACTTGCTCTTCATTTCTTTGTGTCCTTGATCATCTTGGGCTACTGGGCTATTGTATTATATGGAGGTTTTGATTCCTGCGTTGCTGAAACATGTGGGCTGTCTCCATTTTTATAAGGAGAGGGAGGAAATTTTCAAAAGTTCCTAAGGAGATCAAAGAGACATGTTATGGTGCAGCTACCACCATTTCCTGCTGAGCCAGGATAGAAGATAAAAAAGATTTTTACTTTTTTCTCTCCCACTGACTGTAATGGGTTTATAATCTTGCACAGCCCTGTTTCATCCCTCATCATTGGTAGAACATCACTGATGGGTCACTGAAGACATTTCTGACTTGCTGGTGGATTCCCTTCACACCAGCCAGTGGATTCCCCCCAGCTGCCTCTTCCCCTCAGCTGAACAAATGAGGTCCAGAAAAGCCTTTACCATTTAGCATCCTGAGACCATCCCCTGATGTAGCCTGCTTCAGTGCCTGCTCCACTTGTTCTCTCCTCTTTGATTCAAACTCCAGAGCTTCCTGCAATTTCCTCTTCGCTTTCTTCTCCTTTTTCAAGCGCTTTTGAATTGTGGCTGAAAGAGCAAGCGAGCCATTATGAAAAGCAATTCCCCAAGATCTGAAGGCAGAAGGACACCTCCGCTGGCATCAGGCATGCAGGAGGACTCTTGCAAACGTCAATGGCTGTGCTGCTATATAAAGGGGCTTGAGCCATTCTGCTGCCAAGGGTGAGGAACAGGACAATGTCCCCCACCCACCCTTTCCATATATGGAACCACGTAGAATAGTATTTGAATATTATTTCAGCACTTCTAACGGGAGAACTTATTTGGTTGCAGTGGAAGCCAACAGGCCATTCTCAGCTTTAGCACTGGCTGTGTCAGATGCATTTCCCCCCTCCTAACACACCACCTTGGTAACAAAACTATACACACAGTTTTGAAATCTCTATGTTTCAGTTTACTGAAACTGAATTTAAGTAGGTTCTGTTTCCACTTCAATTTTACTGTTTACTGAATCCGCTTCAGTTCCCTAAATTCTCAGCCAGCATGGGAGTTACTGCCCTACGTTCCTCAAGAGAATCGGTACTGGGGTAGGACAAGGAAGATGCTTTAAGACATTTCTGCCTCTCGATGTTTTTCTCTCTCAAGTTACCTCTGCTTTGTAGCTCAGCTGTAAGCTGTCTTTCCAGGTTCTCTCTCAATTCTCTTTCCCTGCACAGCTCCATCTTTAGTTCCTTCTTCTCCTGCTGAATTTGCTTTTCCTGCACTCGCGCATTATCTACAGCGACTTTCAGCAACCCCTGTAAAAACAGGCAAAGGTGAAATCTCCCTCAACCATCACATCTAATTAACGGAAGAGGAGGAGAAGGATGAGGATGATGGTGATAATGATGGAAAAATATGTATCCTAGCAAAGGAAAAGCGGTTCGACGTTATTTTTTGCCCTGTTCATCATTCTGGTCCATCCCCTGCCTTATTTTATGGCTGAGAAAGCAAAGTATCACCTGCTAGGATGACAGGTAATCAGATAAAGCAGACTTTTCCTATCTAGTGCCCCCATCAAACACAGCCCAGCACAGCCATTAGCTTTATATCTTTCCAGAGAATACACACAGTGTATAAGATATGTCTTTTTCTCCTGTGGGGTGTCAAGAGTAGCTGGTTTTGTAATCCATACCAAGTTTGGGTTCTGTCAGCCCTTTGAGGTAGGCCTGGCCAGGAAACAGAGACCACAAGGATTCTGAGAATGCTATTTTATTGTTATAAGGTATAATAACAGAAATCTGAAAGCCTACCTGTGATGGAATGGAATTATGAAGGCCAAGCTCAGGGAGACAAACATTTTCTTAGCTCGCCAGAACCGCGTGGGAGGAACAAGAGGAGTTTGGGAAGATTGATGTCAGGCCTAACCCAAGGAACTCCAAGAGGCACTGCCAATTCAGTCCAGCTCTGTTTATTAGCTACAACCTCTAGCAAGAATCTTCCCAGACTAAAACCACAGTTCCAAAAGTCCTCCAGCCACAACAGTGTGAATCCCTCAGGGAGGTGCCAGTCTCATCCTCTTGTTCCTCCCACGCGGTTCTGGCGAGCTAAGAAAATGTTTGTCTCCCTGAGCTT